TTTATGCAGCTAACAGTAATGATCATGTACAGTGTACATTTATGCAATACTTTAGGTTAATTACGTTACATTTATGTACATGTACATGTAACAGGATTTGATATTATTTAGATCCTAATAATAAGTACCGAATAGTATTGCTTGAAAATTTAACAAAAGTTCCTGTACTGTAGTATCCAAATTTCGCCAAAAATGAAAAATTGAGAATTCTTCATTTTTATAATTTTTCCTGATATATGTACATGTTTTTATGTTGCGTAGAAAGTTTGAGCTGATTCCAATCAAAATTGGATTTTTTATGATTTTTTAAAGTTACTCAAAAATTTGGCTAACGTCCCTGTACTATAGTACAGGGTTTTTGGCCAAATTTTGCCAAAAATGAAAAATTGAGAATTCTTCATTTTAATATTTTTTCCTGATACATGTACATGTTTTTATGTTGCGTAGAAAGTTTGAGCTGATTCCAATCAAAATTGAATTTTTTACGATTTTTTTAAGTTACTCAAAAATTGGGCCAAAGTCCCTGTACTATAGTACAGGGTGTTTGACCAATTTTTGCCAAAAATGAAAAGTTGAAAATTCTTCATTTTTATAATTTTTCCTGATACATGTACATGTTTTTATGTTGCGTAGAAAGTTTGAGCTGATTCCGATCAAAATTGAATTTTTTATGATTTTTTAAAGTTATGCAAAAAAAATTGGGCCAATAAATTTTTTCTGATGCATACATGTACACTTGGTATGTACATGTACATGTTTCTAAAATTTCTAGTATGTAATGTAGGAAATTTTAGTTCATTTCCATCAAATTTGGAATTTTTTATGCTTCTTAAAAAGTACATGTACATGTACAAGTACAAGGTTTTTTCAGGATTTCAGGGGACAAATGATTCTCAATCTTTAACTGTTATTTACATTGCATTATTTTTATTATTATTATTTTATAAAATGTATTTTATGTTTTAGGAGTGTTGTCTTTGTGTCTTAAGGGGTGGGGCACTAAAGCCCACTTCGGGCGGAGGCAGAGAAGGAAGTGGGTGGGGTCACATTGTCTGTGCCGTCAGTATACCGGAGGTCATGTTTGAAAACCCTGATCGCAAAGAACCGATTTTATTAAATAATTTATCAAGAGGCTCTAGTAGAACAAGACAAGTAATTACACATGTACATGTACATGTCTATTTTGGGCCATTGACAATTTAAATTTTTATGTACACATGTATGTGAGAATTAAACTTGTTTTTTATTTAACGAACTTCCTTAGTTGTTTTGGAACAATTGCAAGTATGAAATTAATGAAAATTAATAAAATTAATTTCATATAAAATTTATATTGAATTAATGCCGTTATACATGTATGTACATGTACATGTACCAATAAATGCTTTTTTTCTTATTAGAAATGCTCCATTTGCTCAGAGTCCAAGAGTGGTGCTTGCGTCCAGTGTATTTGGCCTAAATGTTACACTTACTTACACGTCACTTGTGCTCAGTACAGCTCACTGGTACCGCAGACGCTAGCTGGAAAATCTGGTTTTGTCTGCAATAAACACACCTCTGAGGTAAGCTGTGGTGTGGTGGACTTTGTATTGTTTATAAGTCTAAAGCCCAACATACACTATGCGACATTTGTTGCAAACACCTTATTGCATGTAACACAGTTTATACAGGAGTCAATGGAGCTTGCAACATGTTGCATGAAATAGGAAACAGTTTTGTTTCATGCCACATGTTGCAAGCTTCATTGACTCCTGTGCAACAAGTTGTTTGCAA